TGTGTCCACTCCCTGCAGCACAGTCAGCAATACGACTGCTTGTTTCCTCTGTGACAGCTTTAACAGCCCCAAGACATGGCTGCATGTCCAAGCGCTGATGCCAGCTGTCCACAGCGTGTGGTTGAGGCACAGAGTGAAATGTGGAATTATTTCACTTAGGTGGCCGATCGACAGCTCACAGACACTACAAACCCTACGTACACGAGATGTTTTAAAGCTACGCAGACAGAGAGAGTCAGCACATCCCACAGTAGTGAAGTACCTCATTGGCAGCTTGTAGAAAAGTGACGGGGGGACAGGAGTCTATCCGAGCTGGCTCAGGGTGAAGCCAGGTTCACCTGGACGGGTCGCCAGCACATATGAAGCTGCAGAAATTATCGCTGTGGTCTTTAGGGGACAGTAACAAAGTATGAAACACTGCAAACCGGTCGATCTATAATGATGTTTTTGTGTCTCGGGGCAGGAGCTGAGAGCCGGAGTGTATTTCGGTCAGGAGCAGTTCCAGCTGTTGCTCCAGGAGAGTCAGGGCAGCGAGGATGGTTCTGGACCGGCAGAAGATGTGGGTTTGGAGGAGCTTCGGTACCGTTGGATGCTCTACAAGTCCAAGCTGAAGGATGTGGGCGAGCTAAGGGCCAGGACCAGTGCCAAGGTACGAGTGCTGCTGAGCGCTTTAGTGGAGAAACTCGGAGGTTTACGATACTCTGCCCGGTTAAATAAATAAAATAAATTCTTTCATCAGACTTTCTTGTTAATGTCATCGTCTGACTTTTGGGAGCTGTCGTGTTTCTCTGGCTCTATCTACCTGGAGTGACTCATTCAGCTGCTGTTGAATTTAGATGTTTTGTTACTTAAAACATGGAAAAAAAAATGTAATATATTTTTTAAATGTGTGTTTTTTCTTCCATAGATTAAACCTAAAGTAGACGTTAAAGTGAATGATTGTGCTTCCAAAAATAACAAAAAGTTTAACATTAAGCTCCAAATGAAAAGACTAATGAGGCCCTCGTTATTCTCACATTCATCATCACAGGCTCCCCTTCTAAGTGCACTGCCTTCTTCTCACCATAGGGTGGCAGTGTAGAGTTACGTGCTTCTGCTTGTGAGACAGAGAACTGCATTTAGGTTGTTGTTCATCTCAGCAGACTCCATCAGCATCATGAAGCTAAAAAGATCAAGTCGATGTGGTCACGGCCGGATAAAACAAACACGTTGACAGAAGATGCTCATGTGACGAAGCCGTGATCATCCAGGCAGTCTGTGAATCTAGTGCCCCGTCCAGACATGCAATCTGTTTCATTAATCGTGAATGGTACCTGCTCACTGATCCATAGAGCTGGTGTCTGACTGGGTCGGACCCGGTAGCACCAGTCTGAACCGAGCCGTCACGTTAACAGATCGACACGCACATGCAGTTATGTGAAGGAATTAGGGGAAGGATATTTCAACATTTCAGCACCAATATTTCCCCAAAACATCACAGAGACGTCACAGCACAACTTTCCCCCACTTTTCTCTACAGCCTTTAATCTACTAGACAATGAAATATGAAAATAAAACTTTGCTGTGGTGACAACAGACACCAACAGCTCATAGAACAAAGACACTCACTAATGAATGTAATCCGAGTGTTTTTCCCCACACGATGTTAAGAGGAGCTGACGTTTGTTCCTACCAGCTGTTTGGAGCTATTAGCTCTGAGTTTGTTTCATACCTGCAGCATCAGAGTATGAATACGTAGAATACAGTCGCTGTGAAGGACTGATGACGCCGGCAGCGTCCCACGTCTGAAATGAGCTTAATGTTGTGGTTCTCTGTGAGGACATGTTTCACATGTGTTTACTGGTTTCAGTTTAGTATTTATCTCATTTTTCTTTTACCAGTAACCCAGTCGTTGATGTGTTAGAGCTGTAGGACACTATTTCTGCTGCAAAATGACGTGTTTTGTCTCTGCAGAGAGTCGCAGGCAGACAGGAGGCACCGGCTGCAGCAGCAAAGGTACAGAAGGTAACGATGACTCCCCTCCTGTTCAGATTTAAAATGAAATGTGAACCTCATGTGATGACACAATGCATTTATTAGTTTAGCTAAACACAGGCATCCTGAGCTACTGAGACCTTTGTCCATAATAAGGCCTTTATTTGTGCTCCCAGCACTGCTGCAGTTGTTTTTATTAAGTTTAATTCAGGTCCAGTATGTAGAAGTCAGTGGAAATAGAATATATTCTGGTTATGGTTCCATGAGTGTATGATCACCTGAACATGTCTGGATTTTCATTAGCTTAGAATAAACACGTTACTTCCACAGAAGGAGCAGGAACTCGTCCATGTGTTGGTACCGTAGCCTGGTTCTAGGGTTAGGGTTCATGTTTTAGTGTTTCTGGCAGCCGTTAGTTCTCCTGCATGCTTGAAATGGGAGAGCGAGGCTGAGTGGAGGTGACGGGTGTTTATTCATCGTAAAGGGTTCAGAAATCTACACGACATCAAACTGACTCCTACATGTGACCCAAACACAGAGCAGCAGCATCATACATCACATACAGAACATCTGCTGCACATGTAAACACCTGCACACTGCATGATGAGCGCTGGTGTTATCTGAGGTGTTATCTGAGGTGTTAGACGGTATTAGGCTTATTAGGGCATTTTCCTGGTATTTTCATCGTGGGTTTGGCCGTTGTGGAATTAGTTCATTATTTCATCTTTAATGCGTCTGAATCCAGTGAACGTGTCCGTGGCGTCGTCCCAAAGCCAGAGCTGGCTTCGTTAAAGTGCTTCTATGCATGAGTAATAAGAAGACACAGCAGGCTGCTCGACAAGCAGGAACAGGATGGTGCTGAGGATATTAGTTCAAAGCAGAGTAGTACTAAAGCTCACTGATGAAGAGGAATTACACCAAAAACAGTCACTTTATCAGTTAAGGAACCAAGAGCATGATGAATACGCTGTTGGTGTGGACACAGGACAGCTGCAGGGTGGTGTAATAATGCCCCACAAGTGTTTTCTGTTCACCTCCTAGAAAGTCTGATAAAGGAATGTTAACGGTTGTCGTCAGGCTGCTGCACCGTTCATCCTCCACCGTGAGTCTCATTAACTACACAGGAAGGAAAAACCTAGCATGTTCTCCCTGTGTCGTGGAGGATTAGTGAGGAAGGATTGCCTGGTCAGACTTAACATTTCTGGTTCTGTTTGAAACCTCCAAACCCAGGTTCTTCTGCATCCGTCTGACATACTGACATTCCCCAGAGGTCTGTGCCGTAGAGATCCTGACACCTGACCTGACCGTGTCACAGCAACACTCCCAAGCCTCCATTCATTCAGCGAGCACCGGGCGGTGCACAGATTAACGAACCGACCACGTTCCCCTCAGACACTCCAAACGTTCCTCGCTCTGTTCACACGGCCTCTGCAGCATCAGCTAGATGGTTTCTTGATTCTGCCCATCTTTAGTTGCTACTTATGACTTTTTCACACTAACTGAGGTGCTGGAAAACCTCCCAGATATCCCAGTATTGTTGATTAACTTTGGAAGGACAGGCTTCACTGTGCTGCCTTCTGATTTAAAGCACAGTCAGCAGAACCGTTTGGGCTCGTCTGGCGTCTCGACACCGTCAAACCCTTCAGGTATGAAAGAAGAAAAAGATCATTAATTGGCTGTTTACTTGTTTACTTGTGACCTTCTTAGACATGAAAGGTGTCAGTATGTTAGGTCAGCGTTTTCTTGTTGCTGCTGGCTAGTGTGTTGCTCCTGTATTACATGATTTACGGCGTCGTTTTCCCTCCTCTGACACTCTCACATATTAAGTTTTTTTTTTTTTTGTCATTTTTTTGTCCAAACTAAAAGAGAGGAAGGAAATAACAGATGATTTCATTTCAGTTTAAAGATCATTATGAGCGCCGTTATCGAGGAAAACAGCTAAAATGAAAATTGTCGATGTCAAAAGGTCAGGAGGGGAAATACAGCGGGACGGGCTTCTCACCACAGGGGGGCGTCTTACCCCAGTTTACCCTGCAGAAAAGAATGTGGCACACAAGTAAAGCTGCCTGGAGGGGGCGCCAGGGACCACACAAGGAGGAGAACAGTGAGGGAGGCCTCTGACTCCAGTGTCCATGCAACAGGTGTTTCCCGGGTTCTTTCTCTGTAGGAAACATAGTTTAGCCTTCAGACTGTTTGTCTTGTGCAGATATGAGCAGCTAGTTTCACTTCCTGTAGCATTGATCATTAACCTGAACACACACAGTTAGCGCCGTCTGCACGTCTGTCCTCCTGCACGTCTGTCCTCCTGCACGTCTGTCCTCCTGCACATGCCCGACATGCATGAGTCACGCTGGAGGAGAGATTTTTATTCATCCTGAAATACAAGTTATGTCCATTTACTACATGGACAGTGCTAGCTGATTAGCATTCTCACATTTAGTCTTGTTTCTGTAGATTTGACACGTAGTCCATTGTACTTAATGAACATTGTAATAAAGACAATGTTCACATAATAAACATAAAATAAACACACAATAAACACATGTATTGTATTATAAATACAAACACATACGTGTGCCAACATACACGGCTGCATTCTTGCACAATGAGACAGGTCAGCATGAGACCGGTTGGAAACAATCCTTGATACTAACTTAATAAGTTAACCTATTATTATATTATATTATATTATATTACATTAACTTATTATTAGTATTACTTACTAAGTATTATTATTATTGTTAACTTTAAACGTACCACCATACAGTCCGTTTTTAAACAGCCACCACAGTTCTTCCCTTTCAGATCAGCTGTTGGATAACCCACCGCCCGCCTTCTGTTTTTCTGCCTTTCTTGTGCGGCCGCTCCGAGCAGAACGGCGTTCGTGCTCCGACTTCTCAGAACTCATCGCCCGAGTAACCAAAAAATGTTTGTTCTGACCATGTCTGTGTCTCCTGAGCTGTATGATAATTAATTAGAAACGATCCCACAGAGGGGCGATGCTCGTCTATCACTCACAGCGCTGAGGACGGTGATGTGCTGCCAGCATATTGTTGTCATAGAAACAAAACCTACGCCGAGTGGGAGGTTTTTTTCTCCTGTGAAGTCTACCCACTGCCCTGCAACTGTTTTTCTGCCCAAGACATGCACAATACGGACATGAAGTAGTTCTGCCTTGTATAATGTTCAGTAATTGTGTGATTTTAATTTGAAGTGGAATTCAGGTGTTGTTGAAAACCAACAGGTTGGACAGACAATGACCATAGAATAGAATAGAATAGAATAGAATAGAATAGAATAGAATAGAATAGAATACAGTAGAAAGCCTTTACTGTATCGTTGTCTTTCTATCACAAGTATTTACGGTCATCTGTGTGTTCTGCCTGTAGGTCAAAACAATAAACCATCAGCCGGAGATGCTTCTTTTCTGACCTGCAGGCTGTTGTTTAAATCAGGGCCGGCTTTAAGGAAACTCTTCGTATTTCACACTTGAATCAAGCAGCACTCTGAACTGATCCAGATCTTGGGGATGCTTCATGATGATTAAGTGCCAGTGTTTGGCACTGCGTGGTTATTTCACATGAAGTCAGTGTTCTGCATCTTCAGGTCTGGTTTTCTGTCCAGTTCTTCCCAAAGAGAACAGAGGATCTGTATTGCCAGTTCTCTGTTACCTGGAAGGCAGTATGTGGGCTCTCTGGGTGGTAAAGGTGCCTTCCAGCTGTTTGCTGTGTGTTCATAGACTTTTTTATTGCATCACAAAAACTTGATCCTCCAGTCAAAGTGTCGGTTGTCATCTTTCCTGGTATTTTGAAAGACTGCGGATTCCATGAGATGTTGGCAGTTTTTCTCTGAAGCATTCTTGCCGCTCCTACACAGATTGGCCCACAGCATTTCTATGTGGAGCAGCAGCCACCTGCTGCCAGTATGCACAGCACACGTTCCCATGTTGTGATTTTACACATGACGCTCCTGAATATGGCCTGCTTGACGGCCATGCACTAGCAGCCCGCTGCGTGGTCACATGACAGCTGCTTTACCTTCGAGGCGTCGAACCAACATGGCGTCTCGGCCATAAACTTTTGGTTTTATTACGAGAACTGTTTAGCGAAAAGTATTTCTGAAAACATTTGAGGCAAGAAAATCAGCTGTGAAGTTGCTGACTGTCCTCATTTTAGTTCGGCTGGTGGTGCCATTTTACTAAAGCTTGGTGGGGCGTCGGACCTCCGCTCCCTGCGCCACATTTGCATAAAGTAGAAGTCAAATCTATTTCATACAAATGAGCTGGCAGACGACGCTACGCCTGGTTGGAAATGCCCCGCGACGCTCCACAACAGGACACGTGGCATTTCACATACCAATGAATGGGAAGCGAGAGGTTGACGGATCCTGTGGACCCGTACCATAACGCAGATTCTAGCGGCGGCACTAGCATGCTAAACAACGCAGCTAACGGGTCATTCACAGCCGGAGCAGAACATTCACTCACCGACGTGAAGAGAGTTAACACCAGGAAGGCAGCCGGTCCAGATGGCGTTCCAGGAAGAGATTAGATCAGATAGAACTTTATTGATGCCTTTGGTAGGGTACCTCCGGGAAATTGTTGACAGAGTGCTGAAGTCCTGCTCCAGTGTTGACAGCACTGGTCAGCCTCTCGCCAGGTCAGTCTGGTCCCCTCATGCCCAAAGAGAGCCACTATGGTTCCCTGTGCCTCCCCAGCCTGCTGAAGTGATCGTCGTCCTGGAGCTCTCACCTCTGAAATAATGACGTGTTTTGAGAGACCAACCAGGAAGCACATCTGGTCTTTGCTCCCTGAGTCATCCACTTTAGTTTATCTACCAGCCAATCAGATCTACTGATGAAGCCATCTCCCAGGTCCTGCACCCTCACCCAACAGGACAGGCACAGAGGTCACGATGAGGATGATCGCTGAGTTTACTTCAGCTTTCAGTACCATGGTGCCCTCCAAGCCCTACAACCAGCAGTCCAGTCTGGGTCTGAGCACCTCCCTCAGGACTGGATTCTGGACTTACTGTCCACTAGAGTCCCAGTGGTCAGACACCTTCTTGTGGGCAGACACATTTCTAGCCCCTGCAGCCTGAACACCGGAGCCCCCCAGGGCTGTGTCCTCGGCCCTCTGCTTTGTTTCCCTTTACATGCATGACTGTGAGTCTTCCAACATCGTTGTTGAAACTTGCAGATGACCCAGTGGTGGTCGGGTGCATCAGTAACAGTGATGAGCAGACGTACATGGAGGTGGTGGACAGTCTGTCACAGTGACGTCGCACCAGCAACCTGCTGCTCAGCATCAGTAGAACCAGTGAGCTGGTTGTGGACTTTCAGAGAAGCCAGCAGAGGAACTTCTGGAGAGGGTGTTTATCTCCAAGTACCTGGGAATGCACATCTCTGAGGATCTGTCATGGTCCAAACACACAGACAACCAGGGCAGCACCTTCATCACTTCAAACAGCTGAGGAAGGGCCTGAGGACGTTCTACAGTGTGGAGCTGGAGAGTGCTTTGACTGGAAACACGACCCAGTGGAGCAGGACCAGAGAGCCCTGCAGAGGCTGCTGAGGTCAGCAGAGTGTCCCATGGGCACAGCACTGCCCACCCTCAAGGACATCTACATCAGGACACCAATGGACTGTTTGAGTAGCTACGAAGAACATCAAGGAACACTCAGGAAGAGCTTCTTTCCTCATGCTGTCAGGACTGTGAACTCTAGTAGCATCTCATCTGCATCTCCACATGGTCCTCCAGCTGCAGCGTGTCGGTCAGAAAGCCCTGCAGAGGACAGTTAGAGGAGCTCAGAGGATCTCCTCTGTCCAAGAGCTTCTCCAGAGCTGCTGCAGGAGCAGGACCCTGAACATGGTCAGGGACTCCTCACAGCCTCTCCATCAACCGTCTGAACTGCTGCCATCAGGGAAACGTTTCTGGAGCGTTAAAGGAAGAACCTCAGACTGATCAGCAGCTTCCTGCCACCAGCTGTCAGAACGCTGAACAGCTGATCCAGACAAATAAAACTCTAGAGTCTGGTGTGGCCCTTCAGGATTTTAACATACATGATGATCCAAGGTGTTCATCAGCTCACTTCATTCCACATATTTCCTTTTTTTTGTATTTACTGTTTCTAGTGATGTTCCAACTCAGTGTTTTTACACAGAACGGCGTCGCAGGGTTCAGGTCCATGAGGGAAGTGGAGCAGTAGTCGTTCTATCAGTCCTGCAGTGGGAGGCAGAAGGTATTTCTGCTGTGATTCTCTTACTGCAGTCCAACTCAAAGCAGAGTTTTCTCCTCACTCCCCTGTAGACTCGTATCAGATGCTGGACCTCGGTCGTTTTTCCTTTGCCAGTCAGGCTGGATGGTTCTGTGTTCAGGAGGTGGCAGATAAACGTAGGCGGTAATCATGATTCAGAATAACAAGTCTGAGGGAAACATGAGAGATTGTCGAGGCCTGAGCTGAGTCTGTTTGCTGCAGGATGTTTGTGACTGTGGATACGCTGCTGCTTCCGTCTTCATCGTGTCATTGTTCAGGTTTCCTTTATTTTCACGGCAGTGTGTCAGAAACATATTATTTCTAAATGTGTGTTGTCGTTATCTCGTGATCTAGACATGAGTGACGTCTGCTCGTAGCGCCGATGGTTCTGACCTGATGCCAGTTAGCTCCAGTCTGTGAGGTGAAGCTCGCTGTGCTTCTGTTTGCTGCCGTGGCGATGGTTGCTCAGGACGATAAAACGAAGCCGTCTTTTAACTCCCTGGACAGATTGTTTTTGAGGATGTGGTCGAGTTGTACCAACTGCACTGACTGGGCTTCAATCAGTCTGACCACATCCAGATGTGGACCTGCTGGGGTTCTGTGGTGTCGGGACGTATTAATGAAACTTCCTGTTAATTATTCAAGTTTAAGCCAAACCTGGAGAGGAGAGGTCTGCTCTTTAATGAAAATATGATAACACTGTGGGGCGGCTGCGGCTCAGGTGGTACAGCGGCTGTCCTCTGAGCATAAGGTCGGTGGTTCAATCCCCTCCACAGTCGGAGTGTCCTTGGGCACAACACTGAACCTGAAGTTGCTCCCAGTGGCAGGCAGCAGCTTGTATGGCAGCTCTGGTGCCACTGGTGTATGAATGTGATCAACTCTCAGACGTACGTCACTTCTGGATGAACTGTAAAGCCGTCGTTATGACTGGATGTAAGGCAGGGACAGAGAAGGAACCACATGTTTCAGTGGTCGATGCTCCAGACTAGCTCCATGTTGTCCTGCTAACGCTGTGCTGTCCTGCTAACGCTGTGTTGTCCTGCTAACGCTGTGCTGTCTCTGTGTCGGCAGAAGCCTGGATTGCTGCAGCGGGTGTGTCGACTGGCTCTTCCTCTGTGGCTCCTCCTCCTGGCGCTGCTGCTCCTCGCCTTCCTGCTGCCTCTCATGGACGAAGGCAACAGCTGCTCCCTCTCCAACAACTTTGCGCGGTCCTTCAACATCATGCTCCGTTACGATGGACCGCCGCCCACATAGGAAGCTTCTCCTGAGTGTTCTACATGTAGCTCCGTGTGTCTCTGTGATGGCCGTGGCTGATGTAGGAGATGTTGTGATGCTACGAGTCCACATTCCCCTGTAGCCGACCACAGACCAGGACACACGACTTCAGTTCATCTACAGTTTATGCATTTATGAACTCTGTGTTCCAGCAAATCTTATACTCCTTCTAGAAGCTGCCCATACTGCTATCTATTAGCTTTGCTAGTCACGCTGCTCACAGACGTGTTCAGTGTCCTCGCTATCAGAGTGGACCTCAGTCTGGAGGAGACCATCACGTAGAGCACCGTGCACATGTGCAAACTGCAGAAACCAACATACAATCATAATGTGTTCACCGTGTGTCACACAGCACAGTGCAAAGGATCAACAGACACCAAAGCTTTTCTTATGTTTTCCAAATTCAGCCACGTGTGGCCATAGAAGGCTGAAGGTCCCAGAACTGTGTTCAGATGAACTTTGAGGGACTTTATGATCCCAGTAGACTCCAGGTTCTGATGTGGCAACTTATGCAACATATTATTCGCTTTGGTTCTTCTTCCACTTTTATTTTCTTGTATTTGTTTCACATTATAACAAGTTTTTGTTTGTTTTTTAAGGATCTAAGTATGTGGCCGATGCATCGTCTGTTACAGATGAAACGATCACAGATATCAAGTTATTTAGCTTTGACAACGAACTTTTGTGACTCTGCAAAGAATTGTATTTAAACTCTGACATATTATCAAGAATTCTCATTAAAGCAATAAATACTCCTCATTGAACCACATGATGAGACGATGGATGCTGTTTGATCCAGTCAGTGCCTGCAGAGACGGTGCTGGAGCTCACAGAGGCTCCAGGGTTTGGGAATCTCATTATTTAGTTCAGCTGTGTTTGTATCGTGCTATTCCACAGCATTCATGTCATCTCAGCACTTCACACAAACACGGGAAGAACTTACACATGTTCAACAGAGAAACCCAGCAAGTCCACGTCCCCCTCAGATTCCCTTTGAGCGAGAACATAAGACTTCCCTTCACCGTGTATCTGGTTCTTTATTAATATCTACGTTTCTTCTTCTATTAACTTGTTATGGAACAAGGAGAGATCTTTTTTTATGATGTGATGTTCTTGTGTGAGGTTCTGTGATGACAGCTGACTAAATGTTGTGTCTCATGGTGGCACTTCATCACTTCACACTTTAACTCTTCTTACTGTCAGTTAGCATCGTTAGCGCCTCACAGCTAGAAGGTCGCTGGTTCTCCGGGTTCTCCGGCTTCCTCCCACAGTCCAGAAACATGTTGAGGTTAATTGGTGATTGTAAATTGTCCGTAGGTGTGAATGTGAGTGTGCTTGGTTGTCTGTCTCTAAGTGTAGCCCTGTGATAGACTGGTTACCTGTCCAGGTGAACCTGCCTTCACCCTGAGTCAGCTGGCATAGGCTCCACCCCCCATGACCCTAGTGAGGATGAAGGTGTAGAGATGATGGATGGATATAAACTATAGATGTTTTTCCTCTAAGAGCATCTTCTGCTGGATTATTGTGAACAGCAGTCAAAGAACAATGTTCTCTGTGTCGGTGTTCTTCTGTGCACGTCAGATAATTAGTGACATTAACTGTCAAATAAGAAACCAAAGGACATGATGTCTCTCATATGAACATCGTCTTCATAGCAGACATTCCTGACATTCAGTTCTGGCTTCCTGTTTGTGGCCACCAATACCAAGCATGTTGATCTGCTGCCACTGAAGGAGGATTTTATCGGTGGTTTACCCTCATGACTCACTGATATCACACCTACAACACTTCTCTAACACACACACTCCATACCACATCAGACCACAATCACATAAACCTGGAGGAGGAAGGCAGCGAAGCAGGAGTGACGGCAGCTTGGGGATATTTTTAGTGACACAGACGAATGTGAAGAAAACTTCTCTGCACTGAGACGGACGACAAAACATCTCATTTAACAGTTTGAGGATTTATCTACAAAACACAAAGCAAACTCAAACCGTTTGCTAAAGTTAGCGTTGGGATTAAAAACTTTGCAGCAAACACTGAAGAACCAGGAGAACATGAAGAACAGCATAAACTCTGAGGCACTGCGCTGCTGTTGATGGGATTCATTCATCACATCCCAAAAGCTGCTCTGCTGTCCAGCACACTGAGCGTCTACAGCAGGACGTTCTGCCTTCAGCCTAACCGCTGATGACCAGCTGCACCGTGTGGTGGATTCATGTGACTTCACTAACCTGTACTAACAGCAGTTTGCACACGGCGCTCACACAACCGCTGAGCTATTCAAAGTCTGTGCACTTCTACATTAATGAAGCTTTTATGATAGAAATGCTGCTTTATTACGAGCTGCTTGTATCAGTACTCGGTGTTGGCGAGGACTCGTCCCTGGTCTGTAGACCTGCACCAGCAGTGAATCCCTCGCCTATGTTGGTGTCAGTAGAGTTCAGGCAGTTTGTGTACAACCAGCTCATCAGAGGTGTTTTTCCTTCTCTAAAGGCGCTACTTTGGCTTGGAAATGCAGACTGGTCTCACTAAAGGATCCGATCAGAGACCCCGACTTGGTCTTGGACCACAGAGTGTGTTTGGTGCCAATTCCTCGTCATAGCAACCACCTCTTTATACAAACCCAAAATAACTTTTATATCACTGTTTATATCCCACGCAGCCCTAAAAATACACTGAAACACCACCAGCGCTTTATTTTGGCGGCTCTGTGTGTTTTTGACTTCTCATGTTGCTGTGACAACAGTTAACAAGTAAAGTTAATCTGCTTCTCATGCAGCAGGATTCAGAGTTAAATCCATCCTTTGAGAATGAACGAGCACAGGGGAGGACGTGAAGGTTTGAAAGATGTCACATTTCAGCATCACTGGATCATCACCAGGTACATTATCATAGAAGCATAACTCCCACAAAGAACGTGTTCATTCAGCATCGCCTGTGGAGCTCCTGTATCTTCCACCGTGTTCATTCAGGATCAGAGGAAACCTTCAAAGTATTCAACAATGTTCAAGATAAAACTGACACTGGATCATTTATTGAAACCTTAAACTGGTTTTAAAGGCGTCTTTTCCTCTGATCTTGAATTAATCAGTTTGAGGTCAATAAATGATCCAGTGTCTGTTTTATCCTGAATGTTTTCAGATACTTCAGAGAATCATTCATTTAACAAATCATTATGATTAGGACGCCCCTACAGCTCACCTGGTGGAGCAGGTGACCCATGAACAGGGCTGTAGCTCCCCGGTGCAGGTCTCTCCCCTTTCCTATCTCACTCTGTCACTGTCCTGAACAATGAAGGCAAAAACGCCAGAAAAAAAAACCAAACATGTTCATGATCCTGATGATCAGCATCTTCATGAAAAGAAATAATTATATTTTATCTAACTGTACAAAGTGCCTCATATATGAACATGCAGTGATTCTGAAGACCCGTCCATCCTTTTATCCTCCTTTTCCCTTTCAGATCAGAACCTGAGGTACCAGTGTCCCTGGACGTAACCCAGACTTCCTCTGTTCTCTGGTTCCGTCCGATCACTGCCTCCTGCTGCTGCATTCCACTTTTCCTCAGAGACATCATTTCTGCTATTTTCATCCTCTCATTCACATGTGAGTGTTCTCATAAAGCCTCCCACGCTGCTCTCACCTCGGCCTCCCAGCCGGGCCCACCAGGCTGTGCTGCAATCTGGAGCGCTCACGCTGCCAAGTACAGAACACAGGCACCAGCACAGCCTCGCTCGGAGAAGCTCCACTTTTAATAAACGTGCAGCATTTTCTTACAAAGACCTATTAATGATCTCTGATAGCTCAGTAGAGTCACTTCATTTATGCTGGTCCATGGTGACCTTGCAGTTCAGAGGAGACCAGGACGCTGAGCTCAGTGGACTGAGGTGAACCTTCACCGTGTCTCTGCTTCTCTCCTGCTGGCAATCGTCTGACTCACCTGAGAGTCGTCTCCAGTCTGCACTCTGCAGTATTTAATCCACAGCTTCTGCCTGTTCTCCAGCAGACCGTGTGTCTGGCTCCACAGTAGTCGTGGTGCAGCAGCAGCAGCGAGCTGCTTCAGGACAGACGCTCTGTTGGAGAAACAGAAAGTCTCATTCCCCCTTGTTAAAAAGAGAAGATCAACATTAATAAACTATTACAAACCGCATCTATGTTTTCATTCAGTGAGCAGGTCAGTTACCAGAGAAGGAGCCAGCCGGTGTATAAATGGTGGTAACACAGGACCACA